GCAGGAGGATTTCAAGTTCCAGGCGAGCCTGGGCTACTTAGCAAGCCCCTGTCTCAAAATAAAAAATAAAAAGTAGGCCAGGTGTGGTGGTGCACACCTGCCTGTACTCCCAGTGGCTTGGGAGGCTAAAGCAGGAGAATCACAGGTTCAAAGCCAGCCTCAGCAACTTAGTGTGGCCCTGAGCAACTCAGTGAACCCCTGTCTGTAAATAAAAAAAATATAAAAAGGGGTGGAGATGTGACTTAGTGATTAAGCTCTCCTGAGTTCAATTCCTGGTACCAATAATAATAATAATAATAATTTTAAAAATAAATAAATAAAAAGAGCTGGGGATGTATCAAAAAAGAAGTCCTATAACTTCATTTAAAAAATAAAAATAGCATTTCTGAGACGTAATTCAAGTGCCAGAAAATTGACCCTGTTAGAATGTATGATTCATGAAGGTTATTGGTCTGCATTTCTGTTTTGTGCTGATGTCCATGGCTGTTACCAAGATCATACAGGCCTCATAAAATGAGCTGGGAAATGTTCCTTATTCCTCTATTTTCTAAAAGAGCTTTAATAGATTATGTAATTTTTTCTTAACTATCTCATAGAATACACTAGTGAAGATAAATGGACCCGAGTTTTTCTTTGTGGAAAGAATTGTATTTTTTAATTTAATTTTTCAAAACTCAACATGTGTCTGTTAAGTTTTTCTAAGTGGAATGCAGGGTGCACGCCTGTCATCCCAGAGACTCAGGAGTCTGAGGCAGGATTATCGAAAGCTCAAGGCCAGTTTGGGCAATTTTTAGTGAGACCCTGTCTCAAAATGAAAAATAAAAAGGGCTGGGATGTGGCTTGGTGGTAGAGCACTTGCCCAGCTTGTACAAAGCCATCCCCAGAACCACCAAGTGGGAAAAAAAGATTTTCTGAAGTCAGCTTTAGTTATTCCTTCTCCCTAAGAATTCCTCCATTTTCATCTAAAATTTTTTTAATTATTGTAATTTTGATTTTCGTATTTCTTTCTAATGCTCATCATTTCCGTTAAGTCTGTAGTGTTCTCCCTCTTTTTATACATATTTTTTGTAATTAAATATTTTATTTGAAAATAAAATAAAAGCCGAGGGGTGGAAAGCCGCATTCCATCTACTGATTCCTGGTGCATATTTTTGCTCCACACTGATTTCCTATTATTAAGAGTAATTAGACTACCACCACTGTATTACACAACAACATTTGCTTTGGTCTTTCAGAATCACTATGCAAGCCAAACTATGCATATCATAAAGCAAGTTTTCACAAATGTCAGAAATACATGAATGGATTCAAGGCTTACAGAGGAAACACGTGCCCCAGATCATAACTTCAGGGACCTGCTGGCTGAATGTATGCAAACTCGTGAAATCAGAGCTACTTTTGCTAGATATCTCAATGCTGCTAGTGCAGCCCCAGCCACCCTGCTACCCACAAGATTGCAAATTCAGACAATCCCCCTCTTTTCATTTCTATTTTGGTAATTTATGTCTTCTTTCTTTTCCTTAGCCCAGCTAAAAGTTTATCAATTCATTCTCTTTTTTTTTTCTTTTTATACTGGGAATAGAACTGAGGGGCACTTAACCACAGAGCCACATTCCTAGCCCCCTCCTCCCTTTTAAATAATATTTTATCTCTTAGTTGTAGTTGGACATAATACATTTATTTTATTTTTATGTGGTGCTCAGGATCAAACCCAGGGCCTCGCACGTGCTAGGCAAGCACTCTACCACTGAGCCACAACCCCAACCCCTTCCCAGCCCTCTTTTATATTTTATTTAGAGGCAGGGTCTCTCTAAATTGCTTAGGGCTGACTCTGAACTTGTAATCCTCCTTCCTCAGCCTCCCAAGTCTCTGGGATTACACATGTGCACCACTGCACCTAGCCTAATTTGTTTTTTTCAAAGAACAAGTTTTTGGGTCTTTTTTCTATTCTGTTCCTAACTCATTAATTTGTGTTCTCTTCATCATTTCATTTCCTTGCTTCTATTCAATTTAGGTTGTACTCCCTCTACCTTCTGAGTGCCTTGGTTCTAAGATAAGTGAGGCGTGTCACCGACTTTCCTCCAAGTGTAGCTATAGGTCCCTCCCTTCACGTGGAGTTGATATGTCATGGTTTTGTTTTCATTCATTTTAAAGTACTTTCTGGAGCTGGGGTGCAGATCAGTGTTAGAGCACTTGTCCAGTATGTGCAAGGCCTTGGGTTTGATCCCTAGATCTGCAAAAAGAAAAGAAAAAGGGTATTTTTTTAACTTTTCCTTATGATTTCTTCTTTGGCTCATTGGTTATTTACAAATATGTTGTCTAATTTCCAAACATGTAGATATTTCTCAGATTTCTCTCTCTTGTTGATTTCTAATTTAATTTCATTGTGGTAGGAGAACATATTTCAAATGTTTTCTATATTTTAGAATTGTACAGATACTTGGGTTTTGTCAAACCTTATGGTCTATCCTGCACAAGCTTTTATTTGTACTCAAAAAAGGTGTAGCCAGGTGCTGTAGTACATACCTATAATACCAGTAGCTCGGGAGGCTGAGGCAGGAGGATCATGAATTCAAAGCCAGCCTCAGCAACTTAGCGAGGCCCTAAGCAACTCAGTGAGACCCTGTCTCAAAATAAAAAGTAAAAAGGGTTGGGGATGTGGTTTAGTGGTTAAGTGCCCTGGGTTCAATTCCTGGTACCAAAAAGATAATTTTTAAAAAATAACATGTATATTTTGTTATTCTAGGTGAAGTTTCCTACATATGACTAGTATTTCAGTTTGTTTTCATTTCTTGTGATTTCCGCATTATTTTAGGGGGGGTTCCTATTTTCAGGTGCATGGATATTTTTAACTTTTGTGTTTTCCTACCCCTTTGCCATAGTCCTTACCCTTTACCATAATAAAACATCCCTCTTTGTCGCTAGCAATATTGTCATTTAAGTCTACTTTTACATCTGGCCGTGCCTCCTAATGACTGCTTACATGCTATGTCTGTTTCCAACTTGTTTGATTTTCAGCACTAGAGACAGAACCCTGGGCCTGACACAAGCTAGGCAAGTGCTCTACTACTGAGCCACACCCCCAGCCCTCATTCCTTTAGGGACACCAAGATGGCGGAGGCAGGGGGCCAAGGCCTGTTGTCCAAGCAGCTCAGGAGGCTGAGTCAGGAGGATCGTGAGTTCAAAGCCAACCTCAGCAACTTAGCGAGGACCTGAGTAACTAAGTGAGACCCCGTCTCTAAATAAAATGTAAAAAGAGGGCTGGGGATGTGGTTTGTGGTTAAGTGCCCCTGGGTTCGAAATCCCTGGTACCAAAAAAAAAAGGAACCTGTGTCATATATACAACCAAATCGGTTTTATAACTCTTACATTTTTAATACCAACTGTCTTAGATGACACAGGAAGTTGATGGCTCAGGACTCTTAAGTCTACAGGACAGAGGTCCACAGTGTAAAATGGCGAGGTTTGATATTGCAGTGCTCATGATGCCACCACACAATGTTTCTCTTCCTCTCTCCAGCATTTACTTCATCCTCAGGCCCTGCTGGTGTTCTCCCCTAAATTCTCATCCCTCTCTTGTATCCCCTTGTAAAAGCAAACTGGCCACTGCTTTTCCGGACCTCAGATGCTCATACTACATACAAGAGCATGGCAGTGCTTTAGAATCCCCAACCCAGGGGATTGTGTGCTCTTTGGTTCTGGTTGGGTTACATGATGACTACTGAAATTCTTGGTTGCCAGAAGGCATGGCCATGCTGCTGCCTCCGCTGAGAAGGCCGTCCACACCTCTCAGTAGTGATAGAGGGCGGACTGCATGTGCTGGCTCGTCCCCTGGCTCAGGGGCTCACATGTTTAAGGAGGGGCACAAACCATGAGTGAAATCACAAACCTCACTCTGCCAGCGTTTTTTCTGTCGTCCGCCCCAGCTCGTTTGGCCTCAAGCATAACCTGACCTCAGCAACTACCTCTCCCTCCCCACTTGTTTCCATTCAGGCCAGGGCTCCATAATGCCCAGCTTGGGTCAGTGTCTATCCCTCGGCCCAACAGTGTCGCCAGAGGCAGAGAGTACGGTAACTGGCACGTTCCCAGGGCCATCCCAGTGGTCACTGCCAGTGGTCACGGAGAGCGGGAAGGAAATGCACAGCAGAAGCAACGGCTTCGTGGCCAGAAGCGGGAGCGCTGAGCCTAGCCACGCAGCTCTGAAGACTGGCTCGCAGGAACGGCGGGGGCTGCAGGGACATCCGCCCCAGGCCCGCGGTCTTCGACGAACAACACGACCTCAGAACGCGAGTTCCACAAGGTCACGGCCAGCTCCCGGCGAGGGCCGGCGGCGAGAGGGCCGCCCCGCGGCCGCGCCCCTCCACCCCAGGAGCGGAGCCGCATCGCCCACGGGCGGGCACCGCCTCTCCAAACGCGAGCCAGCGTCCCGCCCACGCCCTCTCGAGGACGGGACGACCCCTGAGGCCGGCGAGATCGGCTGGCGCGGTTGAGCCCTAACGAGGCAGGTAGGAACTGGCCGGCCAAAGCGCGAGAAACGAGCGCCTCTTCAAGGCCACAGCGCCACGATTGGCCGAGGACTGCGTAGGGCCGGAATGCTCCAGGCTAGCACTGCGCAGGCTCCAGGGTGCACCAGCGCTCTCGCGTCCTCTCGCGCGACCCCGGTCTCCTCGACGAGCCCGGGGAAAGGTGCGGTGCATTCTGGATGCTATAGTTCTATTCCGGGACAAGCGCCCTCAGACGCGGGGGAACGGAGACTCCAAGGACTACAACTCCCGGCGTGCCGCGCGCGGGGATTCGGGCTTTCGCCCAGGGCGGCCTTAGCCGTCAGAGCGGAGGGAGGCGGGCCGCGAAGACTGCCGCGGCGGGAGGAGGGCGTGCGCGTGCGCGCGCGCTGGGCCGGCCCGTCTTGTTCCGTCCCAATCCTTGTAAACAGGCGGAGGCCGGGCGGGGTGGGAATGGGGCGCCCGAGGCCGGCCCGGGGCGCGGCGCAGAAGGCGGCGGCCGCGGCCGCAGTGGCAGCGGCGGGGCGGGCGGTTGCGCGGCGGCCGACGCAGGTCAGTCGCGGGGGACGGTAGCACGGGGTCGCGGGTTGCCCTCGCGTGTCACCGGGCTCGGGCGGGGGGCGTGGCCGCGCGGTGCTCCTCCGGAGCAGACTCGTCTTCTTTGCCCCCGGGCTCGGCCTTCCGCCCGCGGGCGGCCGCCTGGCTCACCGCTCCCGTGCGGGGCCTTCGGGCGGGACGCTGGCCAACACCGAGCTGCGGAAGGCGCGGGGCACCGTGCGCTGAGGAGGCTGCGGGAGGTACCGGGCACCGAGCGCAAGGAGGTTTCGGGGGGCACCAGGCACCGAGCGCGAGGAGGCTGCGGGGGGCACCGGACACCGCGCGCAGAGGAGGCTGCGGGGGCACCCGGCACCGTGAGCGGAGGTGGCTTGTCTGGGGGCACCGAGAGCGAGGAGGCTGTCGGGGGCACCCGGCACCGTGAGCGGAGGAGGCTGCGGGGGGCACCGGGCACTGCCGCGGAGGAGGCAGCGGGGGCATTCGGCATCGTGAGCGGAGGTGGCTGCGAGGGGCACCTAGGGCAGCGCGCAGGGGAGGTTGCGGGCCTGGCGCCTGCGGGCAGGGTCCTCTGCAGGTCTCGGCGGGAGTGGACTGCTCGTCTGCGTTGGAATTGAGACTTCCCCTCCCACATCACTCCCGGGGTGTTGGTGCGGGGTGTTGGTGCGCAGGCCTGCGGGCCAGCTTGCCCTCGCCTCTTCTGCATTCAGCATTGCGAAACAGGTTTACAGAACAGCCCCCACCTCCGTCTTCCAGAAGTGGTCACACTAGTTTAAGTTTTGGCGTTAGGTACTGCAGGTGGCCACTCCTTGAGCAAGCGGCGCGTGTTAGCTGGAGGCCTAGCAGCATGCTCGAGGGTCAGGAGAACCTTAGCTCGTGGTATCTTGAACGTGCAGCCATGTGGACACTGAATGAGCGTCGCGCCCTGCCCAGCCTCGGTGGGGAGATTTCCACTAAGTTTCTGCCTCTTGGAGTGGAAGCATCCTGCTGCAATCCTTCGGACAGTGCTCTGTCGCACTTAGCAGTCATTCCCCAAATACTGGAGGGTGATAAGGTGTAGGCCCATTTGGGTTTGGTGTTCAGGGAGGCAGCACTTCTAACGAAATGAGACTCAATGAGAAAGAAAACCTCACTTCTCTTCAGAATTGTCTGCGTGATTTGACAGTTTTTTGGATTGTCTTCTGAAAGGTATTAATTACTGTGGACTGTATGGGCAGGAGTAGGCAGTGGATCCCAATTTCCGTTTGATGCTCTATAGGTCCAAGTGGGATATGCTGGTTTTAACAGTAAATGCTGATAAGTAAATTTTTAAAAAGTAACAAGAAGCAGTGTAAGATGACCTAATTTTCTCACTCTTCAAAAGCATTATTTACTGTAGGTCTTGCAGGGACCATTTTCTCTAAAGTAAAAAGACGGAAGTGGTATCAGAAGGCTTACATCAAGTTTATGCAGTTATGGTTTGTGCAGCTATATTTGCAGAGTTTTTGCTTGGCAAGGAGAGATCAGGTTCAGATAACCCAAAAGTATGTTTGTTCTTTTTAAAATGCAAAATCCATGATAGAAGCTTATGTTAGCATTTTTAAGAAGGAACAAGGAAAAGCGCTGATTATTTAGAATACAAGAATTACTGTGTGGTAGGTTCTGTGCCAAATAAAGATGGTTTGAATATGGATTAGACCATACGGCCCCTTTAGAAGGTCAGACTTGATCTTTTACTTGAATCATCAGTGAGTGCAATATAAATATATTTGTTTGGGCCTCATGCATGCTAGGCAAGTGCTCTACCACTGGGCTATACTACCAGTCCACAGATGCCTTATGTTTTTAATATTGCTTTGATTGGAGAAAGCATGGGTGTTCAGTGATGTACAGAGGGGTGTGGTTGATTTGCGGGGTGGGGGTGTGTGTAGGTGTGTATTGGGATTTAACCCAGGGGCATGTTACTACTGAGCCACATCCCCAGCCCTTTTTTATTTTGTATTTTGAGATAGGGTCTCACTAAATTGCTGAGGGCCTAAGTTGCTGAGGTTGGCCTCAAACTTACAATCTTCCTGCCTCAGCCTCCTGAGTCTCTGGGATTACAGGCATGTACCACCATGCCTGGCTAGTGGTCAGTTTCTTAAGGGAAGCCATCTGTTTGTGTTCTAAGAGGTGGCTCAAGTCTTTGATTTAGGGGAGCACCACTTGGGAAGAGTTTATGGATAACAAGTTATTCTGGAAACAGGCCTTGGAGAACAGGGACACTTAAAGCCAGAAAGAGGAAGAATTGGAAAAGGAAATTCCTAGGTGTTCAGAGATACAGAGGAATCATAAGAAGGAATGTAATCAGAAAGGAAGCTGTACTTGACAACAGTTAGTGGTTTGGACATGAGGTGCCCCCAAAGTTTCTGTTGGTGCAGGACTGTTCAGAGGTGAAACGATTGGATTGTGAGAGCTGCAACCTAACCAGCCCAACCTAGTTTGAGAGGGCTGACTGGGTGGTAACTAGGCAGGTGGAGCAGGGCTGGAGGAGGTGGGCCCCTGGGGACTGCCCTGGAGGGTGTATCTTCCCTGTGACCTCTGCCCCCTCTCCTGATCTCTGCTTCCCAGCTGCCTGAGTGGAGCAGTGCTCCACCCGCCCTTCAGCCATGTTGTGCTGCCTCATCTTGGACCCAGAATAGTGTACTGACACCCTGGAGTGAACCTCTGGAACCAGAAGAACTAAATATAAATAAGCCTTCCCTCCTTCAGGTTGTCCCTGGCAGGTATTTTGGTCATAGAGACACAAAGCTAACACAACAACCAATTCTTTGGAGAAAAGAAAATTTTTTTTTTTTTTAAAAAGGAAAGTGCTCCTTTAAATTATTTGAGTAGTTGAGTAAAACAGGATTATATTAGGAGTCTATCAAATTTGATAACTATGAGTTATTGAGTTTAATAACTCAGTGATTTTGATGGAGTGGTTGGGGAAGGAGCGCAGCAGCCATTAAGCGAGGCAGGGTCCTGCAGAAGTGCAGTGGGGACTTGGGGAGTAACTGTATCAGCTGTGAAGGGAGGGGGCCAGGTGAGCAGAAGGTGACCAAGCCTTGTGGAAGGACTCAAAACTTTCACACAACATCTTTTACTTTAAACAGTGTCTTCATTGAAATATAATTCACAGACCTATGATATTAACCCTTTTAAAGTGCAAGTTCAGTGGTGGCTAGTGTATTTAGAGTTGTGCATCCATCTCTCAGTAAGTTTTAGAACATTTACATTAAGCCCCAAAAGAAACCTTTTACCAGCCTCTCCCAAGCTGGGGGTTGAGGGAACCTGGATCTGTGACTGTTGGTCAGTGCAGGTGGCACCGTGGGCTTGTGACCTGCAGCTGAAGCACGTGCCGAACACTGGGTTCTGTGGACTAATCAGAGTGCGCCCAGTTGGTGACGGGAGGTTGGAGAACTGGGGTTTGGTGTGGATGACAACGATCACTTGGTGTGAGAAGAGTCAGGAAGCGCTCCTGTGGAGCTTTCATGCTTAGCGTTTGAGCAGCTGCCGGCCGCATCCAGAGCAGCACCCCACTTCATAGTCCAGCTCTCCACATCTTTGCCAGCATTTGCTATTCCCTTGGGGTTTTGGGCTGTCCTACAGTGTGCCATGGTGTCCTCTGGCGGGTTTGCTCCCATTTCCGTGGTGGGTGACGGTGTGTCTATGTGCTTGGCAGTTGCTTGTGTCGTGTCTTTGGAGAAATACCTATTCAGGTCTCTGCCCATGTTTTATGGGGCTGTTTCTTTCGGGACGGAGTGCTCAGAGCTCTTTATATATTGTGGATACCGGGCCCTTGCCAGATGTGTGGTTTATGAATACTTCTCTCACTCTCGGTCGGCTTTTAACTGTCTTGATCGTATCCTCTGATGTCCACAAGTTTACAGTTTTGAAGTACAGTTTACATTTTTGTTTGTTGCTCATGCTTTTGGCATCATACCTAAGAATCTATCGCCAAATCCAAGGATGTGAAGATTACCCTCCTCTGTATATGATGGCCAATTTCAAGGCCAGCTTCAGCAACTTAGTGAGACCCTGTATCAAAATAAAAGTTGAAAGGGCTGGGGGATGTGGCTTAGTGGTAAAGTACAAAAAAAAAAAATTACTCTCCTCTTTCCTCTAAGAGGTCTTTGGTTTTAGTTCTTATATTTAGGTGTTGATCCACATTGAGCTACTTTTGTTTATGGTGAGAGGGTTTATTTTATTGGTTGTGGTAAGCCAGTTATCACAGTTGTCACAGCTGCCCCATCTGATGAGATCATTCTCTCCTGACTTCCTTGGTGAAAATTAATTGACCGCAGATATTTGGGTTTATTTCTGGACTCTCAGTTCATGTCCATTGGTCAACATATTTATCCTGCTGGTATCACATATTCTTTTAATTACTGTAGCTCTGTAGTATGTTTTGGAATCAAGAAGTGTGACTCTCAGCTTTGTTCGTTTTTCTCTTTTGGCTCTTCAGGGCCCCTCGCAAATGGGCATGGCAGAAGAAGCTGTCAGCTCAAGGCCCCCAAGAAGCAGAGGGAGGAGAGAGGAAGGATAGGCCCTCCCAGGGCACTCAGCAGTGACTTCTCTCCAAGTGGGACCACCCCGTGCTAGTCTCTTCAGCCAGGATCAGTGGAGTAATCCACTGAGGAGGTCAGAGCCCTTATGATCCAGTGCTTTCCCAGAATCCTACCTCTGAACACAGGAGGCTCTGGGGACATTGCAGAGCCATGCCATAACACCCATTGTAAATCTAAAAAATATTTTAAGTTGAAAATGCAGCTGATGCCATGATAAATTCGTTGTAAATCAAAAAATCCTGAGTTGAACCACAGGAATTCCAGGTGCTCCCCAGTACAACGCACTTGCGTCCTGGTAAAGCCACACGAAGTGGGGGGGATCTTTAGCTGACGCATCCTAAGTTGGGACCATCTGTGTTAAGTTCTCTGGCTGTCAATCTGAATGTCTTTCCATTTATTTAGATTTCCTTTCATTTCTTTCAACATAAGTTT